TACTTACACTGTTTGCACACAACTGCCTCTTGCTGTGACGAGAGATGAACTGACAGGGCATCATATCGTGCCTCAACCTATCTGCTGTAGTGCACTGCAGTGATGCTTTACGGCCATTCCACGAACTTATTGACTGTGGTAGTATGTCGAACACTCAAAACACCTATTGTAATAGTGGTTTCCAAACTGTATCGATGTCCCTCTGATGATGGTCTCTAAGGACCGAAACATGTAAGGGCATGAAGCATTGAAATAGGAAAACCAGTCACACTGGACGGAATTGTTTTATCTTTTTATAATATTGTTAGTGTGACGGACCAGAATGAAACAAATCAAAAAGATACACATATGTAAGATTTGAGGCTTTCACGGCAGTGACTATGAAGAAAGCAGTCTTCTGGGGTTTGGCACCGTGTATATGTGGTGTTAACCGACGTTTCGGAGGAATGTATCGCCTTCATCTTCGGGGTAGAAGGAAAAATATAAGAAATCCACAAGCGAAGAGACTGTGAGAACGGGTAAAAGCAGACTGCTTCCTTCAAGATACACATAGTTTCACAATTCAGAGGATTACAGTGTGAATACAAATTGCCATGAAAATATTAAATCTGGTATTAAAGAAGGTGAATTAAATCAGTGAGCTTTCCCAGTTGGAACAAGGAATTCTGAACAAAACACATAAAGCCTACTTTCCTATTGCACAGTTTTAAGACAGTCCCATGGATGCTGTCAGTTTGCTACATACACAGTAAAACAACTGTTTTATGAAATAATTACTTTCTTGAGCCCTTTCCTGTTAATATTAAATGCAACAGATTTTACAGTTTATAATAAAGCCACTACTAATCCTCTGCTTCTTTGGGCACAGTAGTTAGTAGTGAAATTAAATGTTCCCTGCTGCATTTAAATACTAACTTTATGAATAAAGGATATATACATTAACTGACTTGATGGTGCCAGAGTGGAATGAATGTAAGTAGTTTACCTGTGAAATACATACAACATTTTATCATAAGACCAGAAGGGTCAAGATAAATTGTAATACCAAGATGTAGATTGGAGGACAACAGTAAAGTGGCCCTTAAAGCAAAAAAGTTTTAGGATTTGACCAGGATTCATATAACTTAAGATCAGGTCCAGTGATGGTCTCTTGTGAACACAGTATTTTTTAAATTTGTTGTTTAATGACGCTGTTATTATCAAGACTATATAACATCAATGAACATGGTAATGATGCTTAAGGTTCCATGAAAGGCAGGGAATTTCTTGACTAGCTGAAGAACTTTGCTCTACTGACTTGGTTAACTAAGAGTTAAATATTTTTGTGTCTAGCCATAGACTGTGCCCTATAATTTAAAAGAAAAGGATTCTATACCATAAAATAAGAATGTACTGATAAATATTCATTTATGTAAAAAATACAAATTATAAATTCAAGTCACATTATGAAATACTGTAATCCTTCATGCATTACAATTAGGCTATTGCCTGAGTTCCCTTGCTATATGGTNTGTAAGATTTGAGGCTTTCACGGCGGTGACTATGAAGAAAGCAGTCTTCTGGGATTTGGCACCGTGTATAAGTGGTGTTAACCGACGTTTCGGAGGAACGTATCGCCTCCATCTTCAGGGTAGAAGAAAAATATAAAAATTCTGCAAGCGAAGAGACTGTGAGAACTGGTAAAAGCAGTCACCGCCGTGAAAGCCTCAAATCTTACATAGTGTTCCTCTATGGGGAGGCTACTCAATGACACATTTGTACGTTCCTCCGAAACGTCGGTTAACACCACTTATACACGGTGCCAAATCCCAGAAGACTGCTTTCTTCATAGCCACCGCCGTGAAAGCCTCAAATCTTACATAAAAAATATTGATTTCCTTGAATTTCACTTTACAGATGTTCAATAATATAAAGTCAGATTATAGAAACACAAAGTACTTAATAAAACTGTGAGATGTTATTTAGAGATATAAATTGTGAACTGATTTATGAGCATCCAACATGGATACTGTAGGATACAAGTTTCATATTTAAATGCATTGGCTAACAGCTGAATGAAATAATGGAGAAGCTAAAAAAGGAACCCAATCCACTGCAACTTTATGTAAAATTCTATAAAGCAAGAACAAGAACTGAACTAATATGTGAGGGGTCACTAAAACTTTTGTGATTAAATATAAACTCATAACATGATCTTTAGATGGTCACGAAATGTTTGTGGTCATTACATTAAATTTCACCTTGGAATTCCACTATTTATAACATGGTTTCTCTTGTGTGAGAACTCCATTGGGACTGTATATATGTTTTGTATTTATATGATATATGACATATGACATTCTGACTAATTTTGGATCCATGTAATGTAATGTAATGTAATGTAAAATAATGTAATGTAATGTAATATACTTTTTGCTACTTGAATTGCTGTGTCTTCCATGTGATAATATGTGTGCAGTCTTTAATTAATAATTAACTTTCCTCTTCTACCATTATTCAGTGGAATGGAAAACTGTCATGTGTGTGTGTGTGTGTGTGTAACATATAAAATAGGAGAAAGGAAAGAACTCACCTCACCAAGTCCTTCAATGAAACGTACTGCAATGAGCCAGCCTGCACCCCCATGGATTGCTGCCAGTGGGGTTAGTAATGTGAAAATAGCAGTACTCAGGATGCCTAAACCTAGGGCATATTTGCCTCCAAATTTTTCTGCTAGCATTCCCCCTGGTAGATGAGTTATAACATAACCCCAAAAAAAGGAACTGAGAATCAATCCTTGTGTCTCCTCATCCCAGTCAAACCTTCCATGCTGCAAAGAAAAATTCTCTCCTGTATACAGACAACTGAGTTTTTTTTGTTGCAACACAAACATAGTACTTCTATATTTAATTCCTGATGCATGCTGATGTATGCCTTTCAACTGGGTGGGTGTTGCATCTGTACATTTGTGCAAGAGTTTTCTGTATTGTGGTTTTGTGAACTGCATTTTGCCAACTATAAGAATATGGGTTCCTCTCCAAAATTCAACACTTGGAATACAAACGTTCGTCTTACATTGGCATTCCAAAAATATTATTACAATCTGGATGAAGATTTTTATTTTAGGAGTTCAAATTAATTGGTCTGCTTGCAGCAGGATTAAATAAGGATTAATTCAGAGGTTAGACCTGGTTATTTTGAGTTTAGCAACTGTAAATAAAATCTTACTTTAAATATGAGAATATGTGGTCACTGTCTAGTAAAGTTGTTCCAATTTAAGGTTGACACATTAATGAAAGATTGTCTTATACGTGAGTATAACATTTCAGAATTATATTTTTAATTACCATTAACTTAATGTGTAAATTTTCCATTACACAATAATTAGAATGAGCACACTTCAGTGACCCAAAACTTAGAGATATATTAAGATATGTTTCCTTACCGGTTCATGTTTGTTATTAGATACTGAACTTGAAGGGCAGGCATCAGGATCCAGATGTGATTCATTTCTGTCACGATGAACCACCATTTCTGTTATGGCTGTTGACAAACATATCCTCATTGTGTATGCATTTGCTATGGCTAGAAAACCCATTATGGCCACCACATAGCGCTGAGCTATACATCCTGCATAATATGTAACAAAATCATAACCAGTGTTAGATTTTTGAGGTTTTCACAGAAGCAGAAATTAAGAGCATGACTTTCTGTGATAGGTAGTGTAGCCCTGTAGATGGTTGTCACTGTTTATAAGAATGTACTGCTTCCATCTTCAGGCAAAACATTCCACTGGGACCTTCATAAGATTACAGGACATCACAGTTTAATAATCAATATTATGTCAAATACCATGGTGATATTTTTTATTTCACATTGGGGCACTTAACATTCTGGAAAAAAATCAAAACATAAACAGAAAGAAATATAACAAATACTAATACCAAAAATTAAAATTAATTTGTTGAAAAATATGTTCTTCTACATTGAACACTCCAGGGTGATCAGCGAAAGTTTCCATAAACAGCTTAAATGCAAGCATGTGAACACGTTTTTTGGCTGACCTCCCTTGGCATTTTTGATGTCGTATCACCCGAAGAAAAAAACGATTAAATTTCTGAAATGTAGATATTTCTGCACAAAAGAGTGGGAAGAAGAACAAATTCAAAAGAATAAGTACACGCTTCGTCTTTGCAAATTAGACCCTTTGTATACATAACACAAATTAAGTGAAAGTAAACAACATGAACATAACATGTTAACTATTCAGTGAGTTCTCGTTGTTCAATATGTCCAAATATAAACTGTTGTTAAATTCGTAGTGTAACTAACAACTTCACTGTTAAAACATCATGGGGACAAAGGAGGTATAAGCAACTGGTCATTCTACTGTAAAGATACTCCCTAATATCCATTCATAATGCGTTATAAGACTGGAACTAACATTAATATTACCAAGACACATTGAAGAAATACACTAATAAAATATTAATATGAAGTAATGGCAGGAAACACTTATCCAGTTACAAGGTGTCCATGTCATAGGAGAAAACTAATGATACGGACAGGTTTTTTCTGGTAGTGACGACCACTGAAAACTCTTACTTGTATTAACAAGAGTTCATGATCAACTAACTGTTTTGTATTTCGAGAGCTGATGTCTGAAGTAAGCGGGTTAAACTTGACATTCATATCCTTTGGTTGCCTCCCTTCACTTCCATGCAGAAAGGTGATTTCCACAATGCTGTGCTGTAATATGTGCATAATTCTAAGCCTGTGAAAATAGTTCTATGTTGTTTATTTATATATGTATGTACTGGCCGTCTTGTGTTGCACTCAATTTCACATGTCACTTCACTACATGTTTAGGCAACATTTGCCATCCTCAGGTGCGTTATTTACGCTAAGCTATTGCATTGCTTGCCATCATGTGTCGTTCATAAAATTATTTAAGATGTACATTCTTCATCAACTATAGTAAAATTTGCATACACTAAAACTTGTTAAGATTTATCATCTTATACGTCTTAATTCAAACTCGCGTATTGTATGGTTCTTCCACTATGTGAGTCATTTTTCCTATATTTTCTGTATACTGTGTCTTGTGATGTGTCCTTCCTTTTTGGCTGCAAGCGTTGTATATATTTAATTTGGTTGAATTTATAATATATTTTACATACCTACATACTTAATTTGAGAGTCCAAGTACTGGGGACCACTGTGTTTTAATTGAACTGTTCTATCGTCTGGGATATAACGCTGTGTAGTGCGTTGTAAGTCAACCGACGTTTCGGAGGAACATCTCGCATCTATCATCAGGGTCGAAGAATAAGTTGCGCAAGAAACCAGGGTGAAAGAATGTGATAAGTATAGCTGGTTTCTTGCTTGGCTTCTTTTTGACCCTGAAGATGGAGGACTATATGGCATTATATCATAGAGGATAAAATTCTTTATAACAATCGCTTTTAGAGCCTCATATTCTAATAGGTATCTTGACTAACTTGTTATCTTACTTACTTACTTACTTACTCATGGAGCTGAGCCCATCTGGAGGAGCCGCCAATTCTGCAGCTACTCAAGAATTTTCCAGCATTTTATGGAACCCGAAGGTTCATCACCATGTTCACAAGAGCCCTCCACTGGTCCCTGTCCTCAGCCAGATCTATCCAATCCATACCATCCCATCCTGTCTATCTAAGATCCATTCTAATATTATCCACCCACCTACACGTTGGTCTTCCCAGTGGTCTCTTACCTTCTGGCTTTCCCACCAATATCCTATACGCATTCCTTGTCTCCCCCATTCGTGCTACATGATCTGCCCACCTTGACTTGATCATTCTAATTCTACTTGGAGAAGAGTACAAGTCATGAAGCTCCTCATTATGCAGTTTTCTCCAACCTCCTGTCACTTCATCTCTCTTCAGTCCAAATATTCTCCTCGACAACCTGTTCTCAAACACCCTCAGTCTGTGTTCCTCCCTTGATGCCAGAGAACAAGTTTCACACCCATACAGAACCACAGGCAAAATTATAGTTTTGTATATTCTAATTTTTATGTTTTTGGACAACAGAGGAGAAGACAAAAGGTTCTGGACTGAATGGTAGCAAGCATTACCCGAGTTCAATCGCCTCTTAATTTCCTCCTGAATTAGGTTTCGATCTGTTATCATTGTTCCCAAATATCTGAATTGTGCCACATTTTCAAAACATCTGTTTCCTGTCTTTATGTCATGATTTTGCCCTGCATTTTGGTGACGAGACAGTAACATATACTTAGTTTTCTCTGTTTTTAATTCGTTGTCATTGACAGCAATTAACCCTCAGGGCTACTATTAAGTTGATTACTCAAAATGCTTATTTAAATTTAAATCTATTTTTCAAAATAAATAATTAAGGTTATTACAAACCTTCCATGCTTTTAAGGTACATCTGTTTTCCACTATACAAACTACGAATACTTCGACTACATCTATCTGTCTATGGTTCTACAGCCCTTGTGGACACTGGCAGCTTTTTCAGTTTCTTAATATGTACACAATCGGTGTAGAACACCTTGGACTGGGATCTGCCCGTCGCAAGGCCTCTACTTACACACAGAACAACACAAACACAGAATAAACACACGCACAGTCATCCATGCCTCTAGTGGGATTCGAATCCACGATCCCAGTGTTCGAACGGCCGAAGACGGTTCATGCCTTAGACGCCTTAGACCGCACGGCCACTGTGATCGCCTTCGACTGTCATCAAAATAAGAATAAGGCCAGAAGATGATAGCTGCAATAAACGACATACTTTGATTGATATTTGAACATAGTTCATTGCCATAAATACTTACATACCTCACCGCGTATGTTCAGGGACCCTCAGGGTCCTCAGGGTCTGTTATGTAGGACTGTGCGTCAGTGAAAGCTTTGTCTGTAGAAGCAATATCTAGATATAGGAACTATCGAATGTACCCATCGCATTTTCAACGGGCATTTCAATATTGTTACATAATGAATGTACGGGCCTTGTATTTCCATACGAAAAGTAACCCTGAATTTCTCACAGGTTAACTTTTTATTTAATGGCCATCCCTAATTATTGCCAGGTAGGGGAGATTTAAGTGTTGGGTGAACAGGGCGCATTCCGGGACTCAAAATTACACAGCAATGATTTCTTTTATAAGCGGGTTAGATTAAGAAAGGTATTTTTTAAATGCTAGTGGGGTGGACTAAGTCCCTTGTACTGCGGCCACTTCTGGCCTATTGTACCAGCCCCAGATGATAGGTGAGGGTGATTGTGGAGCAATAGGTGGAATGAAGATTGGCAGGGGAAAACGAAATACTTGGAGAAAACCTGCCCCTGCGCCACTTTGTCCACCACAGATCCCACTTGACCAGACCCGGGATCGTAGCCGCGGTGGGAAGCCAGCGACTAACCGCTTGGGCTATGGCGCGGCCTTAAGAAAGGTAAGAAACAAATTGAGTTTTAGGGTGACTTTAAACTGAATATATTTCACTCGCGATATGGAATAGTGGCGGCTTCTTATGAATATGATAATGAAACTAGACAATCCATAGAGGGCGAGGAAATTCCTGACTACCTGAGTGATTACTAACCTGTCAAGAAGGGTTCTTCATGCATATAATTATGCGGGTTTTAAGTTGTTTAGGTTATATAACGACGTAGTTTTACATGTGCAAGGACGCGTATTGAGTTTCAATTTTATTTGAAATTAAATGTTTCTTTTATGCATTTTGTTTACCTGGACCTTATGTGGGGACATAAGTCCAGCGACTTTCTCTCTTGCGAGTATACAGAGTGCAAATAAAATATGCGGAGAAACTATGGGCACGAGTTCCACATACCAAAACAAGAAAAAAAATGTCCATATCAACATATGTCCCGAAACATTTAATTTGTGAGTTATGGCTGAAAGAGTACATTCATAATAAGTGCTCAAAATGTCCTCCATGTGATTCGACGCAGGAAGTGCTGAGTATTTTTGTTTTACTTCATCACTGCCCTTTACAGATGAGACACGTTTCGGTGAAGACTGTGTCATCAATCCACATGGTGCAAGCCAATACCAGCAGGAGTTCAGCACGGATTGTGTTGGTGATCGTGCGGTAGGCCAGCGTGTATTGTCACATCGGCTTGTAGGCAACCACTACCGAGATATCCTCTTACAGGATCTGCAGAAACTACTGGAGGATGTACCTCTGGCAGTCAGAGCACGAATGTGGCACATGCGCGATGGTGCTCCGGCACATTTGAGCCGTGCTGTGCGAGATGTAACACAGTAACACATCTCAGGACCGAAGGATGGGTAGAGGAGGACACACTGCATGACCTCCACGCTCGCCAGATTTGAATCCTCTGGGTTTTTACCTGTGGGAACCCCCGAAATCCCGTGTGTATGCAGCTCCTGTTGACATCGCACTGTGGATGCCTGTCAGACTGTCCGCAACTGCCCCGGCGTCTCTGAACGCGTGCGGTGGTCCATGGTGAGACGTGTCGAGGCGTGCACTGACTCTCATGGCGGACATTTTGAGCGCTTATTATAAATGTATCCTTCCAGCCATAACTCACAAATTAAATGTTTCCGGGTACGTGTTGAGATGGAGAGTTTTTCTCATTTT